GGAGGGGGTAGTGGAACAATAGGAAGTGGCTGAGGGGAATGAAGTGGCTGAGGGGGATGAAGTGGTGGGAGGAATGAGGGAGAATGGCTGTTAGGTGAGGGTGGGGTAGGCTTCCCTGAAGAGATGGGTTTTGAGGAGCGCCTGAATGTGGGGAGGGAAGGCGACAGTCGGATGGATTGGGGCAGTGAGTTCCAGAGGATAGGGGAGGACCTGGAGAAGTCCTGCAGTCGTGCATGGGAGGAGGAGACCAGGGAGCAGGATAGAAGGAGGTCCTGTGAGGAGCGAAGGGTACGGGTAGGGTGGTACTTGGGGATCAGGTTGGTGAGGTAGTCAGGGGCAGTGTTATGAACGGCTTTGTAGGTCAGGATTAGAAGTTTAAATTTGATGCGTTGGGCAATCGGGAGCCAGTGGAGGGAGAGGCAGAGGGGGGTGGCAGAGGTGGAGCGGGTGGTGAGGTGGATGAGTCTGGCCGCTGAGTTCAGGATGGTCTGGAGTGGGGAGAGCCTGCACTTGGGTAGGCCAGTGAGAAGAGAGTTGCAGTAGTCCAGGCGTGAGATGATGAGGGAGTGTACAAGAAGTTTGGTGGTGTCTGGGGTGAGGAAGGAGTGTTTAGGGATGTCTGACCCTGATTATAGCCTTAGGCAAGAGAACAATGGGGTTCTTTTATTTACTCTTTAGCTATACCTCCTACCCCGAACCTTTCCCTAACCCCCCCATACTCCCCCATGCTTCCCCATTGTGTTATTGAAACTATAATTTTTATTTTACTACTGATGTTACCTTTACTGGATGGGATTGCTCTGTTTTTGGTCCCTTGAGGATCAGGTTTATATTACCTGCCTTTAACCATGATTACTCTCTTTGATTTGTATATACCATTTGTCTGGGAATATCCTTATGCTGTGCTATGTTTCTCTGATGATGGTTTATACTGTCTTTGTTGATTTTTTCTCTATGATGACAACTATTTGAAATATGACTTGTGCTTGAATGTCATATCTGTTATCTGTATACTTTTCAATAGAAATATTAGAATATAAAAATATATGTTTTAGCATTCACATTAAAGTCACAAATAATCCCCTAAATGTTTGTAATATGTGTTAAATATCCTTTTTTATTGGTTTCCTTTCACAGCACAAATATAACATTCACTAACCTTCGTTCCTAAGAGAAAATAGCCTTAAAGTGGTTGTAAATGCAAAGGGCTGTTTACCCTAATGCACTAGGCACAAGGTAAAAAATCATCCACTGCCTGAGCCCCCCCCCCCCCAACTATCCCTAAACACTTACCTGAGTCTGGTCATGATCCAACACTGTCCCATTTGTAGCAGAGCTAGTTCCTCTCCCTGCTGTCACAGGTCACACTGACAGCAGTGGAAGCCATTGGAGCCATTCCCACTCCTGTCACTCAAATCCTAGGAGGAAGGAGCGAGGACAGTGGCTGAGCCACACTGTGTGTGTCTATGGACACACACAGCCTGGATCAGGAACGCACCTGCATGGGTGTTTCCTCAGCACATGGCCTTCTGAGGGAGCATTCATAAGAAGGAGCAGACAGCACCGACAAGAAACTCCAAAATAAACAGGCCAATATTTAAAAAAAAAAAAAAAACCCTAATATGTTGCATTTCTCTAGGTCACAAAATGCCTCTAATATTGTCTCATTGTAGATTAGGTTCACCCTGTTGCACTGTAGTAATGCATGTGGCTGCTTAATGCATCAAATAGCACCTACAAAATGCATTTATTATTATTATTACAGATACTTATATAGCGATGTCAATTCACGCAGCGCTTTACATATATATTGTACATTCACATCAGTCCCTAACCCTCAAGGGGTGTACAATCTAAGGTCCCTAGCTTACATTCATACCTACACATACTTTGTCCAATTTAGACAGGATTTGGCAGATAAGGGTTGTGGACCTTGGTCTACATTATCCAATAACTACTCTACAGTGTTCTTAGTCTCTGGTTAACTGTTTTATTTACTTTTTTTGTACCATAGCTCACCACAATACATTAGTATTATACCACCCATTATGGTGCACTGCATGGCCACATGCCGGATGAAGGGGTCCTGCGAAGCTCCACAATGTTACTTCGGCAACTATGATGTAATCACTGAATAAAGCTTTAGACCCATTCTGGAGATTCTTTAGTTTCCAACTGTTTCCAGCCAGTTTACATCTACAGCCATTTTCAGGAACATGTACAGTGGGAATATTGAGCTTGCACTTTTGGTGCACTGCAAAACACATGCATTGGGGTGATATTAAGAACAATTTGCACTACAGCATACCAAAACACAACATGTGTGTTTCCCTGCATTGTGCTAACACGCGCATTTCTGCAGTGCAAAATGTAAATGGATCCTAACACAAAGTTTATGGTGGTGGTGTGTGGTAAGTACCCCTTTAAATGATGGCAGAGCTGCTCAGATCAAGTCTGTGCCTTTAGTATGAAATCTGATTTCAGACATTTGTATTCCAATAATTTTTATTGAACACTATTCAAATAACAGGTAACACAAATGAACAATGTCCTGTCAAAATATGTAGATTATAATACAACGCAAATAGCAAAGTTTATTGGACATAAAACAGTTAACCAGAGACTAAGAACTCTGTAGAGTAGTTATTGGATAATATAGACCAAGGTCCACAACCCTTATCTGCCAAATATAGGGGACTGGCACAGTGGTAGGGAAGGGAAGAGGGAGGGAACTGGGTAGGGAAGCAGGAGATGGGATGGTAGGAAGTATAGTGGGAAGGAAAGGGGAAGAACCACTGTTCATGGACCTGACATTATACACAGAGTAACTGTCATTTAAGGCAGGACAAATGTTGTAGAACATATAGGGACTGGGCATGATCAACCGTAATAGACAAAAGAGAGAATGATGAAGAATAGAGAAAAGAGAATAGAAAAAGAGGAGAGGGTCAAGTTGAGGGACATTAAGGTACATAAATATACTGAATCCACGGGTGCCATGTTTTGTCAATTTTTCTAGTATTATTGTGTAATATACAGGTGAGCTTGTCATTAATCATAATCCAGTTCAATTTATTCTCAACATAGTCAAGCAGGATAAACGATTGCTTCTAATGTCCAGCTATTGTAATTCTGAATGCCAACAGCATACACAGTAGGTGATCAATGTATGGGACTTTCTGGGAACGTTACCTGGGAATTTATAAAAGAGGGATTTGTGATCTCAGATATTTAAAAGGCACCCTCTAGAAATAGACATCCACCTCCCTACTGTTTTTTAGCAATATGATGGTAGGTATATGGATAAAAATTACACATTTTGCTAGGACTCCACGTCCTGAATAAAAATCATACATTTAAAGGCTAAGTTCACCTTTAAGAAAAACACAATTTAAATCAGCAGAGTTTTTGCAGTCTTTAATAACATAAAAAATTCACAATGGTCTTCAAATTACCTTAGTCTGCCTAAGCTTTAGATCATGAGGGGGAGCTTGACAGTAACAATTTTTAATAGGAAGAAAAAGGTGCTTTTTGGCACACAATAATGTGATTTAGTAAAGCCAACTGTTGATTTAAGTTAAGTGAGATTTTTAGTGATAAGTACCTCAGTACAAGCTTTTTACACTTGCACACCCTTTGGCAGCCCATTTCCATAAAGTGCACCTCACCACCAATTAGAGGGGGCAGGGCAAATAGCAACACAATACACTGGCTGCAGAACCATTTTTCCTGGGCTGAAGTACACTAACACCTTTACTGGTCAGTATTGGAGTGCAGTAGTATTAGTATAATGATTCATGAGGCATTTATTAGCACCGCACATATTGTCTCCTGGTAAATGTTTGGGCTTACAGTAACAGAGAAACAATGCCTTTGCTTCAGCAGTGTTACTGGAAAAAAAAATGTCCCTGCATCAGTGGTGTCAGTGGGGGGAAGCAATATCCCTGGCACTGGACTGTAATCAGACACTGGGAGGAGCTGTAAGGAGCTGTAAGGAGAGGGCACAGCCTTCACCTCTTCCTGGCTCTCTCCTCCTCCCTAGTGTCATCTCATGTCTCTGTTTATTTGACAGTAGAGATGCTGCAGTCACTACTCCTGTCAACTTATAGGTAGAGCCAGATAAAATTCTTGGTGGTTCGGACACCCAGCAGACAAACTACCACAGCTTGGGTATGGTTGCTAGAAGGCAGGTGGCCAGTACACCATTTTTTATTTTAGTGTACCCCTTAAAACCCTGGCATGTACCTTGGGGGTATTTGTGCCCCAGTATTGAAATCAGTTTTCTAAGGCATTTTCTATACACACTGGGGTTGATTTACTAAAACTGGAGAGTGCAAAATCTGGTGCAGCTGTGCATGGTAGCCAATCAGCTTCTAACGTCAGCTTGTTCAATTAAGCTTTGAAAAAAAACCTGGAAGCTGATTGGTTTTTATGCACAGCTGCACCAGATTTTGCCCTCTACAGTTTTAGTAAATCAACCCCACTTAGTCTTCCATAATAGATATCTCAAGCAGAGCATTAGGCAGATTAAAAAGCACAAATAACTTACTTGGTTTTAGTCATACCATTTGTTCTTGAGTATTTTCCTAGTGTATTTTTCACTGATAAAGTCTAAAGTAAATGCAGAAAATGTTCTTGTGTTTAGATGTATAACAGCAATTAAAGAAAAATGCCAGTTAAGTAAGCTTTAATCTGTAAAGTCTCAAGATCGCCTCTAATTATGCCTTTGTGCTTTTGTCACTGTATAATTGCACTTTCTGAAGGAATAGGTTTTACTTAAAAATCACAAATCAGTAGTACAGGGCATAGAGAGCATTACCTTTAGAGGCAGGGTACAAGTTTCTAAATTCTTAGAAAATGAATTTCTGAATATTTTAGCTTACAAATTAGGTAAGGATGTCATGCAATGGCACAGATGAAAATAAAATAATAATGAGAAAGCAGTAGCTTCTAATTCAGCATCTATGTGGGGCAGATTGTAGAGGTATTTTACTTAACAAAAAAAACAAATAAAATAAATAAAAATAATAATGAAAATAAATATATATATATGTGTATATATATATATATATATATATATATATATATATATATACATACACACACACACACACACACATATATATATATATATATATATATATACACACACACATACAGTATATATATATATATAATTAAATGTATGAAGATTGCTTTGTAATAGTGTATTTCTTTTCATTTTATTGAATGTTGTTGTACAGTTAGATACATCTGTATTATGGACAATTTAATTATACTGTGTAACATATTATTTCATTTCAAATACATTTCTTTGCATTTTTGGATTGCATTCTATTATGTTGTAAGTTAACATTTTTAATTGTAGAGCTTGACACATACACTGATTCAAAATAGATACTGTGCTAGGTGAACCGTTATACAACATACATATGAACTATGAAGACCCTCACACCTCTGAAAGGCGATCAAGAATAATTTTTTTTAAAATAAATTGAAACTATGTAGGTACACTAATCATAAGTGTGCATAACAAACAGTGAAATATGGTCAAATTAACCTTGAAATATCATACACCATATATATGCCCTATGAATACCCTCATACCTCTGAAAGGTGATCAAGGTTGGAGGTGAATTGAATAATGCTGTGAAAAATGTATTCACCACAAATTCATATAAAAAACTGTGTATTAATATCAAAATAACAAAGAAATAAACTAATTGTCCATATAGACATATAATAAAGTCCATACAAAAAAAACCCCTCCACAATCAGTGATGATACTGTAAATGATGCTGTAGGTGCAAATATGGATAATCTTCCTTCAAATGGTCTCCAAAGTGTATACCACCACCAAATAATTGAATGGAGGCTTACCAGAAATGGAGACCCTTTAATTATAGGGGGTCCCAACCAGTATTAGGATATAGAGCACTAGCAGGCTCTCTCCATGTCATGCCAAGAACATGGATCTTCCAATCTCAAATATGGACTCAAAGTGTAATGTCAAATAAGATCATGAAAGAAAAAAACATGGCCCTCATAGTGCAATACGTATCAAACACTTCTTTATTTGTGCAAATGAAATCCTACTTACAAGCTGTAGAACAGTTAAAAGCATTCACATAAACCGTTTCCAAGAAGGCCGACAGCGCAATGACGTCAGTATCAGCAAAATTCATTCACACTGCTGGAAACTAGGAACATATCACATATCTTAAATATTGTATTTTCAGGATTTCTAAATGTGTTAATCTGTTCTAGCACACCATATATCTATCATAAAGATTAATTAATCCCTATGGTGACAATGATGCCACTGCTTGGTGAATAGACCTACCAATGCCAAGTCTATCTTTGCTTTTTTAATGTTTATTTTGCATTGACAATCTATTAGTTGGAGATAATTATTTCTTCAAAGCAGTAGGATTTCATAGTCACCTGCCCTCAGACTCTTTACACTAAAGCATTCATCCAGCTTCTAACTTCAGCTTGTCCAATTAAGTTTTGACAAAAAAAAAACAGAAGCGGATTGCACCATATATTCCACTCTTCAATTCTAGTAAATCCACCCCAATGTGAGTTAATGTATTCAGAGTCTGATATTAGGCACTGGACTGCAGTAAAAACCCAACAGGGGCTTAAAGTCATTCCTACTCTAGCTAAAAGAAAACAAAAAAAAAAAAAAAATTGGGTGGACATACATTTTAAGGGTTCATGTTGAGGGGCCTTCGTTGTCAAACATTTCATTTCCCGTTTTAACACATGCAACTGTATCTCCCTACTCCCAGTCTGGGGACCTCTCAAGTTTATTCTACTAAATATACAGTTCATTTTTGTGGTCAATGGTTTAACTACACTTTCTGACATCTATATGCATCCACACTATTTATACCACCCATAAAATCGACACAGGCAATGACTGGGGTTTGTCATGTGATCTGTTTTCAAGAATCACTCAAAGTACTTGACTCGTCTTCGATTGCCCAAGCTAGCCATACATGTTGCAATCCAAAAGTGCATTCTCAATGTATCCTCCTTCACATCTACCAAAACCATAAGGTAGATGCCTTCCCTAGCGAACTATTCACTTTATATACAAAAAAAGCAGCTCCTTTACTACATAATTGTTGGTAAAGTTAAAGAAGATTGTTCAATTAGATTGTAAGCTACAAAGCCAGCAGTCCTAACTAGGCTCAAGCATTCTGACATTAGCAATGCTGAGTTTCCTAGATAGCATTAGTAGTTTGCGGAATGAATTTACTTGTTGCCTAAAGCTGTTTAATAAATTTATATTGTAATTCAGCTCTTTTTTTTTATCTTTGTAGATAAAAATCCTTCTCGGCACATTCAGTCAGGGAACATGAAATATAAAGAAGATTCATCCAAACTTCTCTCCGGAAATAAGTTTCAAGAGAGATATTTTGTTTTGAGAGAAAGGAAGCTTCTTATCTACAAAGACATAAAGGTAGAATTATTTCAACAATTTGGGTTGTGCTGGAAATATACTTTATTCATTTTTTAACACCCATCTAAGCTCTCTTTAAGTACATTTGTTATGCTCTGTGGACAGGTTTTTTATACAATATATAGAGTTGCATCTGTACATGGTACTAAAGTGTTTTAGCAATTGAACTGATGTACTATGGAAACTGTATTTTTTTTTTTCAGTGTCATAGTTGTACATATTCATTATACGGTCATGGTTTTATAGCATACTGATGTGCAGTCACTGATTATATAACACTAGAGGTAAACTGGACCCTGTAATATGATCCTATAAAAAAACACTATCTTATTTTTTTTTATTTAACCACTTCAAGTCCAGACACTTTCACCCCCTTCCTGTCCAGGCCAATTTTCAGCTTTCAGTGCTATCACACTTTGAATGACAATAGGGCAGTCATGCAACACTGTACCCATATGAATTTTTTAGCATTTTTTTGAGACAGATAAAGCTTTATTTTGGTGGTATTTATTCACCACTGGGATTTTTATTTTTTTTGCTATGTAAATGAAATGTCCTAAAATTTTGAAAAAAAGTGTTTTTCTTATGAAATTTTGCAAATAAATAGTATTTCATCAGAAATATTGGCCAATATTTATTCCGTTATCTTTTTAGTAAAAAAATTAGTTTATAACCAAAAATTATAATTTTTAAACGTTTTTTTTTACACTTTTTAAATTTTTTTTATATTATTATTTATGGGTTTTTTTTACATACTGTCACCCTAGCAGTACAGTGTCACCATGGGGATAATGAAGATTTTTTTTTTTTTTTTTACACTGATTGCTTTTACACCCATAAAGGCTGTAAAAGCAATAATTTCTCCTTCTCTCTAGCTGCATTCTTGTAGCCATTGAGAACTACTGCGTGAGCTGTGATTGGTCACAGCTTGTCACATGGTACAAGGTTGTTGTGAATAGCCTTATACCATGTGACCTCTGTGATCATTCACAGATTTCACACGTAGTAAGCAAGGATGTCACAAGTGACATCCTTGCTTACTATTCTGCATGTGATCAGTGATTGGCCAACAGAGTGATCACATGATAGGGACCTCGCACAGAGGTCCCATCTGACAATTGGTGTTCCACTGTGTCCAGAGGACACCGCGGGCACCGGATCGCGGTGCTGCGCGCTCCCAGGGAGCATGCACAGCTAGAAAATGCGGGTGCCGTTTATTAACGGCAACCTGCCCCTGGAGTGCCACCGGCCTGCCGTTTATAAACAGCAGGCGGACGGCAAGTGGTTAAACTAAATACAGATACATATCAGAGGTGCAAGTGACAATGGTTGGTACGCAAACTTACATTGTTGATGGTAGAGTATAATTTGTAGTTGGAATTAGTGATAAGCTGAACATACCTGGGTTCAGTTCAAAGAAGGTTTGGTGAACAGTAATAAAGTTCAGGTGCCAAATTCAAACTTCATTCAATGGGAGCCAAATGTTCCAAAACAGCAAAATAACCATGTTGTAGGCCAATAGGTAAGAAAATACGAAATAAAGAGCATTGGGGCACTGCCTTGAGGAGTGCCAAAGCAAAAAAACTCAATTTGGCTTAGAGCAGCAATTTTAGTGATTCTTAAAGTGAAATATTTAGAATGCAAAGTTCCTCTAAATAACATGCCGGGGGGATGCTTATACCCTGCCTGTGAAGTGGAACATTTTGTGCAGCCTGCTGAAAAAAATCTACTACAGCAAAACTGACACTTACAAAAAAAGAGTAAAATGACAACTATTAGCCTTTGTTCTGTTTGTAAACAGGGTGGGTGGGGATTCCATTCATCTATACCAAACTGTTATCCTATATGAGGGTCTACTGTAGATGTCAAAGGAGGAACCCCATGCAAACAAAAAGTCCTCAGTCTACCCTCGGTTGTATATGCATTAGTAACCCCACTTAATATCAGGAAAAAAAAAGTGTGAGTTCACCCCCAAAATTCCGTACCAGACCCTTATCCAAGCATACAGCCTGGCAGGCCAAGAAAGAGTGGGGAGAGTGCATCCCCCTCACTTTTGAACCACATCAGGCCACATTCCCTCAAAATTGCCAGGTACCCCCAGCTAACACATTTTTTTTCCATGTTGATGTGGAAAAGGGCCTCTTCCCCACAACCCTGGCCAGGTGGTTGTAGGGGTTTGCAGGTGGGAAGGCTTATCAGGATCTGAAAGCCTCATTGAATAATAACATTATGGATATTGATCATCTTTTATGTGAATTAGTAAAAAGTACATAGTACTAATTTAAAAAAAAAAGCAAATATAAATACAGGCAGAGACAATTTGAATAGAACAAAAAATGTCCCTTGATATACAATACATCCACCATCAATCATGTCATCCAGAAATGCAGATCCATGTCAGTCATGATGATTGACATTCTCCGACCTGCCAAAATATAGAAACTCTCCAAGCACAGATACACATCTGGCCCTGTCACTTCACTACCACAGAATGATTTTAACTATGCCCAGATCCTTTGCTTACATAGCCAGGGACATCACAGACTTAGTCTTGCCTTAAACTGCCAGCATATTTAACAACCATTGACAGCAGGAATGGTTGTTCCACCGAATGGGTAAATGTTCAGACTTTCATCTGATATAAGTATTTTCGTTATGTATTAGCTTTTTTTCTAGACTTTACCTTTAAAATGATCATATGCCTGGGTTTATGGTTGGATAACAGGCTCATTTTCCGAGTTTCAGGTATACTGAGGTGCTGCAAGCATTTTACCATATATTTTTTTGAAGAACACAAGTTATCTTAGATTCAGGGGATGCCTAAAAAAAGATGACAAACAGTGTTTCCACAAAAACCACAATCCCTGCCCAGCCTCACTGTGCCTTCCTGTATCCTAGAATTTTCTTTAGGGTACCCCCACATTCTAATAGAAAAACATGGTCATTTACTATGGTGGTGAGGTTCTCTCCACAGTGTTCAAGGGATATGATAAGCCAGTGTGTGACTCATTTCACCAGGCTCCATGTTAAACTGATCTATCACTTTTGAATGACCTGACACTTTACACTATGCATTGCAATTGTGTTAAAGAAAATAATTTTATATTCAAGATCCTTATTAAGATTCTTATTCAGACCTCAGTAGTATGAGGATCTTGATAAGTATGAAGAAACTTTAAAGAGGAATTCCAAATAAACAAATATTTAACAGCACAGCTAGGCAGGTGACATTTGTATTTTCCAAATCCAGTATTTCAGCTTTCTGTGTTACCTTTCTGCCTTCAGTCTTCTCATCGGACATTAAATGAACATCATCTCCTTTGTCCACTGAGCGAGTGAAACTGAACCATGCAGCAGTGGGAAAACTTTCTTGACTCAAAGGGTTGCTTAGATTGTCAATATGGGGAAACGTTTCCTTTCCTTTATACTGTATATGGAAGGCCCAACCCAAGGTGAAGGAAATTCAATGAACATTTCAAATGACACCCAGTTCACTTCTGTTGTGGAGCAGGCCAACACAAAGAGGGAATGATTAACTGATGCAGTAACATACACTCTAGTGCACGTTCACCATTAATTTCCAGTAAGTCCCAAGGGAATTTGTTTTTTTCTTTTACATTCCTCTGAGCCTGATTTGGTATTTCAAGAGAATGCAAACTTATAAAACGTACTCCTGTAGTAAACTATCCTCTTAGTGAGCCATTAAATTTGGGTTTGTAATGCCATAGGAAATGTACAATGGTTTTTACAGTTTTAAAGCAGAGTTTGCATCTTCATCCCCAACTCTCCCCAGCCCCATATAATAAAAATAGCATCACTGGTCCTTTTTCATCATCTCTGGAGACAGCAGTGGCCAATCCATATTAAAGCACAGAAAGAAACTCAAGTAGAGACATGTGGGAACTGTTCCTTTGTACTGTGAACCCAGACTGGCAAAATGATGCACCCCCAGGGAGTGTGTTCATGACAGCCTAGGCTCATAGGAACTATGTTGAATGTTGATGGGCATCATTCAACTCTAAATAATGGTGGCACGAGGAGGATGGAGCAAACATTTTGTGGAGAGGCGGACAGCAGCAAGAAGGTGAAGATTGCAGTGAAAGCTGCTTTTTACATTCAAAGGAAACAGCCTATAAAAAAGATTCTTAAAAGTTTAAAAGCTGAAATTGAGATTTAAAGAATAAATACACAATTATCACACCTAGGTCCTTTATCACACCTAGGACCTTTTAAACATTCAAGTAAAGCAAGCAAGTAGTGAATATGCCATTTCTATTATTCCTTTATTCTGCTGTTGAATCAGAGATGTGCTGCAAAACTCAGTGGCTCTTCCTGATAAACATTTTTTGTGAAGAATAGTGACTTAATATGTTTAGAAGTACAGGAATAATTAGAAAGAAGCCTTATTCTCCCAACCTCTAATGCCCTACAGAGATGAGTAACAACAAACACATCCTAAGGGTTTACAAGGATCCCCATCCTTCATAAAGCAACAGAATTACATACTGAATGACTTTCCTCTCCCTCACATCATGATTTCTTTCTGATTAGCGGTACCAACCACTGCTCTGTCTAGGGAATTGAACTGTAGAAATTACTAATTTAGGACTTAAAGTGCTGAGAACGTCAGATTTGAGAAGAGTATAACAGCTAATTTTTTTTTATTTAATCGCAAGGCTGCACATAATTTTGAAGAATAATATGGGAGGTTAGCCTACAATGGATCTTGACTTAGATCTCACATACTCTCCACTTTTCCATCAGTGCAAATATGCAGTGTACAGTATGTGTATGTATATATATATATATATATATATATATATATATATATATATATATATATATATCCTGTCTGGTATTTTGCCTCTTGGGCCGTAGAAGTGCACAATTAACTTAATGAAAAGTATGAATAGGTTTTTCCCTGTGTGCATTCAGTCTGTACTTAAACAACATGCCAGAAGCAAACATATTTTAAATATTTTATGCTGGCAAACCATATGGCATTACTTTATAAAACTAAAATCAGCCTCTTTGTTTATTACTTTATGCAGCCTTAACAGCTGTTACAATAGTTAATAAAATGCAATGTTCTTAAATTAGTAGTTCTTACCAGGGGGTTTCATTAGCAAAATGTGACAAAATAGCTGTTTACAGTCTCTCATTCTTCTCAATATCAATTTAGCATACAAAAGAATTATAAATGAACTAATAAACAAAAATACTGTGTCCACTTTAGAACATCATAATTCATCAAACATAAATACATTACACAATATTATAGGAGCAGCACTTTCCTTTACCAAGAAACAACTAACAAATATGAACGATACAACTCATGAATAACCTGTCCATGCAAAATCAGCAAACAGACTCTCTGGTCAAGTTTGTCCACAGAGACCCAGTTATTCTCTCATTGGCCAATACTATCTTGCCTTGCACAGCCTATGAAAGGTAAAAACAGGATGTCAATCGCAGCTTGCACATAAAGACATGAAAGACACTTCTACTTTTCCTGTGGCAGTGTTACTGCTCACTGCATTGTCATCAGCAAGGTGACTGATTAGACACATATACTGTATACAGGCTTTTCTGTTGACATTTGACTGTCAACTTGAATATGGCCATTTAAATTAGTTTTTAATACTTAAAGTATATCCAAAAGCATAACTTTTTTTCAATTTGGATAGAATAGGGAAGTGTTAAAATCCTCAGCTTTTTTTGTCATCTGTCTGTAATTCAAAAGATTTCTCTTAACTTCCTGTCCTGTAAATACAGCAGTAAATGATAGCCAATCTCTCAAAGTGAGGTAAAGCTCCTATAAACAGTTATCACCAGGACAGATGTGTCCATTGGAAGATTTTCTTGCTGTTCCTATTTTGGTTGGAAATTAAAATTTTACATTTTTCCTATATGTAAGATGTGAGTGGCCATGGCCATTAGGAAAAAAAGAGTGACTCTCTCTAGCAAGGACACATGCTAATCAAAACTAAAAAAAACAAAAAGGTTTTGCCTATGGTTATACATTAATCTGAAGTGTAACAATCCTTCCAATCACATATTGTGGATCTAAAGTCCACCATCAGTGCACAAGGCCCTTGCCATTTTGTGTGAGTATGTACATAATATTTGTACATGATTGCAAACTTAAAGAATAAGTTCTCCTTTGGGAACATGTTACATGTTCCACCCCTTTTTAGGGTAGAACATGTTCCTGCTCCTGCAGCCGCTCCCCGATCCCTGCACTACTTGTGACAGCAGGTTGGGGATCTTCTCCTCGTACTGGCTGTCACTATTTGAAAAGAACGCATCTGTGTGGGACTCACATGCTCATGTCATTCCTTCACAGTTCTGTGAATGAATGAACTACAAGTACTGACAGCCTTTGCCAGGGGCGGACTGACCATTTGGAAACTCGGGCACTGCCCGAGGGCCCGAGGTCAGTAGGGGGCCCCATGAGATGGTACCTCTTTCATAGGATTTTTTGAGTTTGGACAAGGACACAGGGGCCCCATGATCCCCTATTGCCCGAAACCCCATGAGTTGTCGGTCCGTCCCTGGCCTTTGCAGTTAATGGCTTTTAGTTCTAAATTAACTACCAGGATGGTGTTGAGTGCTCTAGGCAGTTTATTGATGCTTCCTGTCAGTGTATAACTACCTGCCTGTATGAGGTACGAGCAGACAGCTTACACTGACAGTCTGCAAGAGCCCTTCATTGCACTTGCGATCTGCAGATAGTGGGTGCAATGCTTTACAGGCTCCTAATAAAACAAATATACCAAATGCACATTTTTTATGTGCAAAAAGGTGAACCTGTCCTTAACTGGAACAAACCTGCCAAGGCACTTTGATCCACTGATGCAACAGTTATTGACATCTTCACCCAGTCTTCTTTTGGTTTCAGTGTCTTTGGCCATCTCGATCGGTCCAATCAAGATGGCCAAATGCACAGTTCAGTGTCCATTCATAAGGAACATTCCTGGCAGGTAAGATAGATGCTTTTAAAGAAACAGACATGCAGAATATTTTTTGTAGAAAAAAAAAAAGCCTGCCAGCTGGCAATATATCAATACAAGGCTTTAAATTCTGCTTTAATGAAACTCTTAACTTGAGCCCCAACGCTTAATCTATCCATTGCAATTAACTCCTAAATCTTAACCCATTGGTGATGTTCACACTTGTTCCATTTTTGGTGCTTTTACAGACATTTAAAAAATCGCTTAGTCCGCCTTTGCCAGACTTTGCAAAAAAGTAGTAATTGCAGCATCATTGATCTAGTACTTAATGTGCATTTACTCATTTTTGCTGTGAAGTCTGTAGAGCATTGCATAAATCAATGCATCAGGCTCTCGCAACATTTTCTGTAGTCTCAGACCTGTACTGTATTATGGACTTGCTGGAGGATGTTCAGCTTGAACTACTAAAGGATGGGAGGGAGAGAGAAGGGCAGTTTTAGTTTGGGTATGGTGTATGTATCCTAAATATGGGTATAACATGAAACGTGGTAAAAAAGTGGACTTAATAAGCTTTGGTTAAAAAAAAAACATGTAAATGGCTTTCAATAGGAAGGTGTAAACCTGTGAATAAAAATGTATTTGTATGCCTTAAATGTGGAAACCTGGGACAGCAAATTAAATTGCCTTTATACACAAATATTTATGACATATGACTTTAATCTGGTGGACAGAGAATGTGTTAACATTACATGTTGTTTACGTGTGGCCTAAAACTGAAGATTAGCTTTAAAAAATATAGCTTTTTTGCTCTAACTTACCTGTAATAAAGCATATACCACGTTGTGCAGAAAGCTGGAAATCTTGACGCATCTATTTTCTGCTGCTGAACTTCTGGTGCTGTGATGGTTATTAGCTCCCCATCTTCTGTGAAGCTGCAGTGAATAAACTCTTGATAGGGAAACATCCACTCCTCCATCAGGGAAAGTTGTTTCATAGGGGTTGATTTACTAAAGGAAAATAGGCTGTTAGCTTTGCAAGGTAAGTTGCACTTTTTATGGGAATTTTCCACAGAGATTAGTGAATGTGGTAAAATATCCCTTTGCAAATATGTTCAAGGAAATTAAAAACAAAAATAACATTTACTAAACCCAGGAAACTACACTTGCAAACTTCCCTTGCAAAATGAACTGTCTATTTTGAATAAAGATCACAAATAGAAATCCCCAGCCTTATTCAGAAATCCATCCCAACTCCCTTCCAACCCCCTAAAAATCACCCAGTGACCCTCCACCATGATCTCTATTGAACCAGTCAGATTATAACTATGGAAACACAATTTAAAAAAGATAACTGTGCTAATGAACTTCTAAATGTATGTTGGGGTGACAACCAGTTATTCTAGTCCCAGTGTAAATAAAATGATGGATATATGCTTGGAGTTTGTGCAATATAAAAATGGCATGCCAAAAATTATGATAGATAAGAAGGATGCAATCTGAGTGCAGTATAATAACAGATTTATTATTAAAATCAGGCTCATCACATAGTAAGGAATTCCAGTGGAAAGTCTCACAACAGGGAGCCTCAGGATAGAAACACCTGCAAGACCAAAAATACACATCCAAGGAGTGCCAAAGTAAATGTACTGAAAAACACTACATTTGCAAATCACAAGGAAGGGAAGAAGAAACGGAACCTTTTGTGAGTGGTTAGCTTATGCATCTGGTATGAGGAGCCTCCTCCTAAACTTTGCAGCCTGGAAAGTCCAGGCCTGCCGTTCCCTGTTGTTGTGAGACTGTCCAACAGAAGGTCTTACTATGTGATGAGACTGATTTTAACTGTCACAATGTGAGTTGCCATTTCTCTTTTCACTATAATAAATCTGTTAATATACTACACTTAGATTGTGCCCTGCTGTTCTTCTTATCTGTTTGCCTAGAGATACTTCAGTCAATTCAGAGGTGCTGCATCTGGTACATTAAGATCAGCGGGAAGATACCCTGAATGCTTCAACTGGACTTTGCTGTTCTGCATAGACATTTATGTACACACAACACTTATTGCACCATATACCCCATTACTACAAAATTAGCGGTAAGTAAATATTAATGAGCCAGTGGATGGACTATTATCATCTCTGTCTAGCAAATGGTGGATGTACTGCACTCAATATTAATGTAAATAGCCCAAACAGAATGGGGCTGTAATTTCCAAGTCCAGTCCATCAGTAACTACAATAGCAGCCATGGACCTCCTTAGATTTAGCTTGATAGAGAGCCAATATACATTGTAAGTGGACAGAGCTGAATGGATGGCTCTTCTGTGCTCCCTTAATTACATATAACAGAAAGACTCACCAATCTTCACCCCACCCGGGGACTTACTACTAATGGTGGGCTATCTCCAGGTATGGACTCAGGTTAGATGGTATATTCATCGCCATGCAACAGGAGCAGGGAGCCAGTGCACTATGTGAGCATAGGGAGCAATATATGCTCAGCTCAACCAGCCAATGAGTAAACAAGTACCAGTATAAACTCTGTGTCTTCACTGCTACCTGTTGTTGTATAGGCAATGTGTGCAGACAAACTGTATGTGCATGTGGAGCTGGATAAGCTCATCTGGACCAGATGATGTATGAACCTGTGCCACTGCAAGCTTTTTATGTCTTTACTCCTTCCGGGGGATGTATAACCAGTGGGTTTGATGCACCACTGAGGGGTTCTATAGTTCTAAGAAATCAAAGGTAGCCTGTGTGGAACCGCTAGTCCCGACTAATTGCTAGCCATCAAACCTAAGGACCAGAAGCTTCACTTGTAATAGAGCTGGCTGTGCAGGACAGCATGAGATGTAAGTTTACATGGCCCGAATGTCAGTGTATTTTGTCCCTCTTCTTGGGGCTTCCTCAGTTAACTATTGTAATTAGAGATGAGCGAATCGAACCAGGCGAAGTGGAATTCGTTTCGAATTTCAGGAAAAATTCGATTTGCGGCGAATCCGAATATTAGCATACTTTCGGGTGCGCGAATCGGATTTTTCCCGATCAGCCGGCAAAAGTGTCCCTGCAGAGAGCTCCGCTATTTCTGACAGTTCTCTGACAGAAGGAACACATGTACAGCGGTTGAAACATTGTATCTATTAGTTTCCATTTAGGATACAGATGTTTTTATTCGGAAACAGATACAATGTTTCAACCGCTGTAAATGTGAAGGAACTGTCAGAGAACTGTCAGAAATAGCGGAGCTCTCTGCAGATTTTTTTTGCTGTACTGGAATACTTCTTCTTTTCATTCTTCTTTTCATTCTTCTCATTCTTCTTTTCATTCTTCTTTTCATTCTTCTTCTCATTCTTCTTTTCATTCTTCTTCTTCTTTTCATTCTTCTTTTCATTCTTCTCATTCTTCTTTTCTTCTTCATGAAAAGAAGAATGAGAAGAAGAATGAAAAGAAGAATGAAAAGAAGAATGAGAAGAATGAAAAGAAGAATGAAAAGAAGAAGAAGAATGAAAAGAAGAATGAGAAGAAGAATGAAAAGAAGAATGAGAAGAATGAAAAGAAAGATGAGAGAAGAAGAAGAAGAAGAATGAAAAGAAGAAGAAGAATGAAAAGAAGAATGAGAAGAAGAATGAAAAGAAGAATGAAAAGAGAATGAGAAGAATGAAAAGAAGAATGAAAAGAAGAAGAAGAATGAAAAGAAGAATGAGAAGAAGAATGAAAAGAAGAATGAGAAGAAGAATGAAAAGAAGAATGAAAAGAAGAAGAAGAAGAAGAATGAAAATAAGAAGAAGAATGAAAAGAAGAATGAAAAGAAGAAGAAGAAGAATCTTTTCATTCTTCTCATTCTTCTTTTCATTCTTCTTTTCATTCTTCTTCTTCTTCTTTTCATTCTTCTTCTTCTTTTCATTCTTCTTTTCATTCTTCTTCTTCTTCTTTTCATCTTCTTCTTCTTTTCATTCTTCTTCTTCTTCTTTTCATTCTTCATCTTCTTTTCATTCTTCTTCTTCTTCTTTTCATTCTTCTTTTCATTCTTCTTCTTCTTTTCATTCTTCTTCTTTTCATTCTACTTTTCATTCTTCTCATTCTTCTTTTCATTCTTCTCATTCTCTTTTCATTCTTCTTTTCATTCTTCTTCTCATTCTTCTTTTCATTCTTCTTCTTCTTCTTTTCATTCTTCTCATTCTTCTTTTCTTCTTCATGAAAAGAAGAATGAGAAGAAGAATGAAAAGAAGAATGAAAAGAAGAAGAAGAATGAAAAGAAGAATGAGAAGAAGAATGAAAAGAAGAATGAAAAAAAGAAAAGAATGAAAAGAAAAAAGAAGAATGAAAAGAAGAATGAAAAGAAGAGGAGAAGAATGAAAAGAAGAATGAAAGAAGAATGAAAAGAAGAATGAGAAGAAGAATGAGAAAGAATGAAAAGAAGAATGAAAAGAAGAAGAAGAAGAATGAAAAGAAGAAGAAGAATGAAAAAGAAGAATGAAAAGAAGAAGAATCTTTTCATTCTTCTCATTCTTCTTTTCATTCTTCTTTTCATTCTTCTTCTTCTTCTTTTCATTCTTCTTTTCATTCTTCTTCTTCTTCTTTTCATTCTTCTTCTTCTTTTCATTCTTCTTTTCATTCTTCTTCTTCTT